TTGACCCGGCATGTCACAGCGGGCCGTTACGCGGCCACAACGTTACACCATCTATCAATAATAAAAGTAAAGATTTATCTGGAGTGATTCGACTGTGCATAAAATGTTTGGATCTTAGCAACATATACTTGGAACTGATAAGCTGGATAGTATTTAAACTGCTATGAAAAATTAATTGGGGTATTTCAACTTCAAGTTGCTGTTCGAGCAAAAACTTTTTCAGTATATGCTGAACGTGATGAATGAGCTGACCAAAAATAACTTTTCAAAAGAACAATCAATGCAGTGAATCTAATTAAAAATGTAAACGCTTATGAAGTGAACTCTTGAGGTTGAGTAACTCGTTGTTCTTTGGGAGACGATAATAGGTAAATTTGAATATCTTTAGCTTTACCATTTAATATACTTCATTTAATTTACTGGTTACTGGTAATTATTTCACAGAAATTTTGTGTTGAATACTACCACAGAAGATTTAAATAATTCTTCGCATAGAGTTCATATTCAATGTTTCTTTGTCCCATTGGTCTAGTAAGAGCTCAAATAAACAATTATCATAATTGCATTCTTCACATGGCTGTTTATGTGGTTATTAAGAAAAGTTTATCCTAGAGTGTAAGTTAGTTTTTCCACCATTAGATAGCTTTATATATGAATTAACGTATTTCAATAATCATTTCTTAGATGATATGTAGAAGAGAAGGATTGCACGCAGACATCCAAATGGTCCGTTCTTCTATATTTATTATGGGAGTCAATGTCATTAAATTATTCAATAGTGCTTCTTGTTGCTGCATAGAACACACTTTGGATCGAAAGATGATACAAGAAGTTGAATGCAAACTTCTCAAAGAAAGAACAACATGTGAGATGTATTCCATTATGAGCTTGAAGTTGAAATTTTTTCACTGGTAAATATATAATGTAAGCTACTCAGAGGCTTGTATATAGAATGATTCTATACATACAGCGATAATACCAGACATTACATATTTTTTAGGTCAAAGAACAGCTGCAGTGGCTTCATTGTACGTGTTATCATTGAAAACTCCTAAAATTGCTTGTCTTGCCCTAGAAGTCACTTAGATAAAAGGCAGCTCATGTGGCATTCGATGAAGACCAACTTAAGACTATTGTGGATGCTCTGATAGACCTTCCTGGAGAAATTAAAGAAGGTTCACATTGACACTAGTACAAGTCACTCATCATCAAAATGTAGCTCACATGTATGTGTGTCGAAGCTATTTGATAATGTTAGTTACACTCCTCAAAATCAATAAACACAAGGAAAACTCTTAACAAGGTTAGCAATACAATGTTAATAGAGTAAAGTGAGTAACAAAATTAAATTATTCATTTTGAAAATCAATTAATGTGACAATTAATCAAGAATAATTTTGATTTTTATTAATTTACAGAACTGCTCATCAAATGTGCCACATTCGAACAATTTTCAATGAGATTGGAAAACCAATAAACTCTTGCCTCATGTCAGAGAGTTAGTCAATACAGGTACCTGCTGTTAAAGTTTCAGAAAAGGGGACAGATGTTATTCAGTGGAAGAAAATTATTACAGAGTCAACATGGTTCAGAAAAAAGAAAGAATTGGAAAACAGCATTTGAGCTACATGCAGTATATTTGAAAGACCATATTGGTTGTACAACAAACTGAAAGTTACCAGAAATACAGGTACTATAAGATTATAAATTTACGAAAAAATTATATTATAAAACTCATAACAATTGTATTATTTTGCATACAGATGGCATTTTTACTTGGCGGGTTCAAGAAAGTTAATAAGTAATACATGACTTCTTCTGGAAAAGCTATCCCATTGGCTGTCCCATACAATGATGGTATGAGACAACTGTAAAATTAAAAAATTCCAGCAGTTCAGCTAGCAGATATAGAGGTATATTTCTGTTTGTAATGCATTGCTATTTGCTTTTTGTATACAACAAGTAGACTGTACTTTCATCGTTAGTTTGGGTAACCGGTTGCTTACCCTGGGCCGCACGGATCCAGAGGTCTAGAAGCTCCCAAAATGAGTTTGTGGTTCTACATAAAAAACAGGACAGACAACGACTCACCAACATGATTCAAGGGATCAACATGCGTTCTTGAATCTCCAGGGACCATTCAATTTCGCAAACGCATAATTATATTTATAAAGTTCTTTGTTATCATTTTAATATTTATGACTTCTAACGATTTTTATTGTTTTTCTAACAGGACGAATTGCATCCTACAACCAGCCACACTCTCGAGTGGTGGAAAATTGTTGCTAAAGTGCAACCTCTACGCAATCAAGATCGATAGTGTCGTTGGCCTGGCGGTCCATCTAGTGGCACACCCAAATTACAGGTAAATCTGATTTTTGTTTGAACGCGGTCATCAGCCAGGAACTGCAGGAGAACAGTTTGAATCGATTCCTCTGTAAACTTTATCACACTATTCTATAAAATCCACAATAACAGATGTGTCATTTAACAACAATAAATGGGCAGTGATGCAAATTTGGAAACTAACTAACTATAAATGAATGACGTAAGTATATAAATAAGACCTCGTGGTCAAATTAAAGTATTTGATGTTATGTTGTATTAAAAAATCATTATTAATTAACATACTACAAATAAGATATCTAAAAACTGTATTTAATTTTTTAGACTCTGAATATCGTCCACAAAGGTATTTTATATTTTTAATACATAGCTATAGAAATTTTGAAAAGCTTGCATAGAATTTTAAGAAAAGAAATTTGTTGAAAACTTGTAGAAATTAATTATTCAAAGACTTATGAAACTATAAGATAATGCATGAAGAATAAATGTTGAAATAAATAAATAAACAAAAAAAATAAATGAAAATGAATAATAAAAAAAAGTGACAAGGAAAAAATAGTCCTATAAAAATGCATGTAAATAAAGGATTGAAAGAAAAAATAATATTACAAAAGAAAAACACGATAGTCAAAAAAATTGCATGTAAATACAAATAGTTGAAAAATGAAAAGATTAAATGATAAACATGAAAGAACTTTTTTTATTGATTGGAAATAATGCATGATTGAAAAAAACTAAGAAATATTGAAAATAGAAAAAATCATAATTATAAAGTGAAATAAAAAAAATAAATTATTCAAAATTCCAGTATCAGAATGGAATTGTTACCAATTTTATTATATTTATTTATAATTATAATTATATCAATTATTAACTTAATCAGTTATTCGATTTCTAACTGAGCATAAATTTTTTCATAATTTTTTTATGATGCAATGCTATAACCTAAATATATTGATAAGGCTCATAAATCTCAGGTATGTGATAAATATGGAGAAACTTTCAGACAAATCAAGTATTTCAAAAAAGCCCACGTTGATGTTGTACTAATTCGCTCATGCATCATGTTCAACTGTGTCAAAAATCACGATAGATAATAAATCGATATGATGAGTCGACCGCGCCATCTATGAATATAGTTTATAAGTTTCAATATTTTCCTGTTTTAACATAAGAGCCTAGGGACTCTATTGATGTGGGATGTGGGGTACAGACCACCTTAAAACGTGAACCAGGACTGCGGTCATTTTGTAGTCCAAATGAAATACGCAACATCGTAAAGTACTCTTTCGAACGAGTAATTTAAAAAAAAAAGTTGTCTCACATTTTTTTGTGACCCGTACGCTGTTTTAAACATACCATTTGAAATACCTAAAACGCCTCGTTTAACTGAAATCTAACTGAACGAAGGATAATAGCTGTATGGCTCACTCGGTTAGGTGGTCGACTATCAAGTACGGACTTCTATAAATCTTGGGTTCGAATCCTACTTCGATCAAACCATTTACTTGAAAAAAAATCATGCTTCTTAACTCTTGACGACGTTAATAGCTAGTGCGACTGCGCTGAAGTTTCTAACCTCCACATTTTTTTTCAGTGTGTGTCTAAGTTGTTCGAGTAAATTAGTCCACGTGAAGACAGTGCGAAGTTAACATCGCAGAGAAAAACGTAAGCATAATAATCCCGAAAAGACAATATATTTTAAAAATTATTATAATAGCTATACTGTAATTTTTGTTAGTGTGACAAAAGATGGCCGACGAAAGCTTCGATTCTAAAACGGGCCAAGAATATTTAAAATATTTGATGAAGAGCATACGAGAAGAGGTAAATTGGGAGATTGAAGAAGAGCGTGAAAATTTGTACTGGCAACTGTGTAGGTTAATCAATGATCGGAAGAGTCGACTTCCGAATCTCCGTGAGATTTTTTGCAAAGAAGAGATCGATTGGCTGCTCATGAAGTGTGTGAAAATTGGTCCCACCGAGTTAATCAAATTTGTGATAAGGACAGGCTACAGAGACGAGCCCGACCTCGATGAAGACGGTAAGCCATTGCTGCTTCGCAACACACCAATCAATTATGCCGCTGAACACAAAGTCCCCGACTGGATATCCAAGGTTCGTGAGCTTTTTAAAATTTACGACAAGTTCGACGTGAACTACACCAACGAATCTGGATTGACCCACTTCCATGTGGCCTGCATGTCTGGCTGCGATGAAATCGTCGAGAAATTTCTCGAGCTCGGCCAGAATCCCAATATTTCCATGAAAGAAACAGGTGATACGTCACTGCACATGGCTTTGAAGAACAGACACGCGAAGACTATTGAATTGCTGCTGAGAAATGGCGGCAATCCGAATTTGGCCAAAAAAGGAGGATCGACATGTCTGCACTATATTGCATTACCAAGTGAAGTAGATGATGACTTAGCCGAGAAATTCTTTCAGATAATTGACGACATTCAGCTCTCTCTAGAAGTCAACGCTCAGGACGATTACGATCGTACACCATTGTATTTTGCTGCGTGTCACGGCAAAAAGAAAGCAATCGAATGGTTGCTGAGAAAAGGCGCGGATCCAAATTTAGCCAGCATAGGTAAATGGACAGCTCTGCACGCAATTTGCGAAATGACCACAGATGACGACTTTATGGAGATATTCTTCAATATATGCGACGATATTCATCAGTCGGTGCAGGTCGACGCTCGATGCAACTCAGGCCGGACACCACTGTGCTATGCCTTGAGCCAGGGCAAAAAGAAGACGGCTGAATCACTGCTTAGAAGAGGCGCGGATCCAAATTTAACCGACGCACGGAAAAGTACGTCTCTGCACTTTATGGCAGTAAGTGGATCTGATTATGACTTAGCGGAGAAGTTCTTTGAGATCTGCAGTGAGATTCAACGTCCGGTGAAGGTCGATGCCCAAGAATTTACGGGTCAGACACCATTGCATTTTGCTATCAAAATGCGTAAAACGTATATGGTCGAATGTCTACTGAAGAATCGCGCAAATCCCAATATAGCCGATGCATGGGGATTAACATCTCTGCATCTTATTGCATTATATGGAATAGATAACTTGGTGGAAAATTTCTTTGAGATCTGCAATGATATGCAGCTGAAGTTGCAGGTCAATGCCCAAGAAAATGATGGTCGGACACCATTGCACATGAGCACCAATAAGACGAAGATGGTCGAATGTCTATTGAGGAATGGCGCCGATCCCAATTCAGCCAACTTAGAGGGATTGACGTATCTGCATTATATGGCACGACGAGAAATAGATGATGACTTGGAGTGGTTCTTTGAAATCTGCGATAATATGCAGCTGAAGGTGGAGGTCGATGCTCGAACCAATTTGGGTCTAACACCATTGCACATGACTTTGACTACCGGTAAGCCGAAGATGATCGAAGCACTGCTAAGAAGAGGTGCAGATATAAATTTGGCTGATAACGACGGATCCATATCTCTGCACATTATATGCATTAGAGAATACGATGACGACTTGATAAAGACATTCTTCAAGATCACTGATGATCTTCAGCAAACAGTGCAGGTCGATGCTCAGGACAAACGGGGCAGGACACCGCTACAAACGGCTGTGGCAAATCTATTGCTAAATGCAGTAGATGTACTCTTGGATCGTGGGGCTGATCTGTCTAGTTTCGTTTTTCCCTCTGAGAGTTACTTTTGCGAGAGATTTGACGTAATTAAACGCAACTGGGATAAATTGAAATTGGCATCTGGCATTTTAACCGTCCTTGAACGTCTTGAGGATAGAGAATATGATTTGAGCAGAAGCGATGTCCTGACGATCATTAAATTGTTCGTCAAGTACGAATTGTTCGAAAAGTCGTCGGATCTCGAAAAATCTTGGTACGAAGAAGAGGAGTTCAAGAGCAGAGCCAGAGAGATAATTATCATTCCGAATCTGTCTCTGTCCGATCTAATCCAGTTACGACCAGAAGAAGCTGCAAAATTACTCACATACAAGAACTACTTCGAGATCGAGCGAGTAAACAACTTGGATGAAGTCCCCGAACAATATCGCGATATGTGCTTGAGGCACCTATGCGAAAAAATGTCGAGAGGGTATTTTAAAAGGTTAGCACTGGATGCTTTTCTGGAGTTGATACACTACCGACTGCCAATTCTTTGCAGCGATATGGTCATCGAGAATTTGAAAAACGAAGATTTGTTTAAAATATACGAAGCTGGTGAAATCGTTGCCAAAGGGAACGAAGCCAAAACATCCGATACAGTTAGCAAAGGTATTTTTCCTTCTTTTACTCTCTAAGTTATAATTTGTATCAATTTTTCTAAATTTTCCATCGTTTTTTTCAGGCAACAAAGTTGAGAAATTATAAATTTCTATGTTTTATTCTAATTTTGAAATATAGTTGTTAGTATGCAAAATTTACATCGTGTAACAATGTACAATTTTAAATTATAAAAATAAAACAATAAAATGAGTCGTGTGTACACTCAGTACACAGCAATCAAGTCATAGAAGGAATTTGAGTTATTATTGAAAAAAACTTTTCATTGGTGCGTTTGAGAAATTCACCTTTTGCTTGTGCTATAATCCTTCGTTTTGCTAAAAAACCATAACTGCACTTGTCGAACAATATGCTTTTCGTTTAATTTAACTATAGCTGATTATAAGTGAAGTTGAGTAGTCGAATAGGTTTTTTTCTACAAATATAAAATAATCGTTTTTTGTGATGTTGTATATTTCCCCAAATTACACTATATTGTAGCTACTTATTTTTTCAATCTGAATTAGTATCTGAATTAATCTGAAGCAAAAAAATACGATAAGCTAATTTGGGAAATGAGTTGAAAAAGTTCAAAGCCTCAATGTGATAAATAAATAAGCTATACGAGCACTAAAAAAGTATTTATTTTATGATTCGTGCGAAGATTTTTAGTATTGAAAAATTACAAATTAATTTTATATTTGTAAATATACATTTAGAGAAAACAAAGTTAATGAATAATTAAAGTATTCCGAAATTGAACTTATATTTATTTTTGAACTAGTTCAAAAATAATTTAAATTTAGCTTAAGTTATAAGATGAATCAATCAGCAAATAATAATTTATATTAGTTAGGAAAAAATATACCATCTATAACAATACAAATTTTTCAAATCAGACAGTAGTATACAGTGATCTAAAACCTGCTACGAATGAAAGTGAACTTTTTATAATCTGTAAAGTGAAATGTTATTTTCAAAGTGAATCAACTTTTTATTAAATAATTATTATAGACTCACTGAGCTGCAGGTTTCCAAGTTCAACTCAGTTATTGATCCAGCTGTAAGCGCCAGAGGTTTAATTGTCCTTACTAAAATCATTACTAACGTACGTCTAGCCTTTGGCGGATATTCGTCCCAACTGAGACTGTAACTATAATGAAAACAATTTAACATGGATTTAAATTTACTTTTTGTGATTTGCTTTAAATGTGTGGTGTATCAAGCCTACTTACCTTTTCATAAACAAGCTATCACTAGAATTACTTAACAACTGACTTGGTACACATATCATCGTGATTATGATCATGCTACCAAAATATGCTATAGACATTTTGAAGGCCATTCCTATGTCCGAACTCATCAAAATAACCATCTAATTTATTAAAAGAATAAAGTTGTTTAAAAAATTTAATGGGTATTGAATGATATCCCTCAATCCCGAGAAACCAATTTTGAAGAAGTAATTGTGTGTATTGCTAGGGGATAATGTTTAATACGTTGTACAAAAAATTAAAGTCAGTCATTAAAGGAAAGTTATAGTTTCGGTTTTTTCCGATTTCAATTGAAACGAATTGATCTTTGTTAAAGATAAGCAATGGATTATATGTTAAAAATAGTACAATCGAACCTCCCTTATTCAAATTTTATGGAACAGTTATAAATCAGAAGGTTTTTGAATTGGGGAGGTTTCAGAAGAATTAAATTTGAAATAGTGAGGTTTCTTAAAATAACTAGTTCAACATACATTTTTATGATTGTACCGATTATTTTCTAATATATGAAGCGGTGAAACTGAAAAAAAATGCTTGGATCTCCAAAAATTTCTGATTTCGATTCCTAAAAAAGTAATGTAATACTATTACATAGTATATATAATATATTTTTTTTGAAAGCGAAATCAGAAATTTTTGAAGAAAAGTCTAAGAAACTGAACAGCGCTTACGAGTAAGGGTAAAGCGCTAGTTGAAATATTAATTTTCGTTGATAAAATAAATCAATTTTGTTTTGATAATTTTTTACTTTTTTGCAATTGTTTTTGGACTTGACTGAGCTGAATTACTATTCGTAAAAGCATAACATCAAATAAAATTATGAATAACAAAGGTTTAAAAACAAAATTAAGAAATAAATTTACGCGTAGATTTCTTGCAGAGGTAAAGAAAATAAACGCCCAAATATGTGAATTAGAGAGGTTTTTTTAAAAATTAGAAAGTTTTTTCAATCCATCCCTACGAAGACAATCACTCATGCGAATGCGGTCAAAAAAATCTCTCTTTCGAAGATGAGGTCAAGAAAATCTCTCTAAAAAATCTGCGATCAAGAAAATCTCTTCAAAAAAACTGCAGTCAAGAACCGCATTTTCTTTTCGAGAGATTTTCTTGACCTCATCTTCGAAAGAGATTTTTTTTCGCCGCAAGTTTTCAGGAGAGATTTTTTTGATCGCGCATCACTGGAACAGCGATACTCTTCGTAGGGACGGTCGATATATTCTTTTTTAACATTCACACCAGGTAAATAAATGTCTACAAGTTCTTTTTCATTTATTTGATTTAAGATTTAACCCACTCTGTGTGACGTAAGAATTCTAAATATTTTTTAATATTTACCGTAGAACCGCTCAAAACCATGATACACGAAGAGCCAAAAATTACCACAAACATGATTGAATTAGTAATATTATTTAGATTCTTGTAAAGCCTATAACAGTCCATTAAATAAAAAAGAAAGAAATCTGATATAAAGTACGAGTGTTACTCAAATATAAGTCTTTTCTTTTGTAAACATGTTTTTGGTCGCGTAAAATTTTAACTTATTGTGATGAATAATATGCTTTTGCTTTTTATAAATAATTTGAAATGCCAAAGTCTTTTGAAAAGGTCAAATATTATAAATAAAATTATTTATTCCTGGGAAAAACTAATTATAAATAATTATTTATATATTGAAAAACATAAATAAATAAATATAAATAAATAAAAATATATATTGATTATCAGCTGAATTAATAAAAATGTTACCCATTAGATTTGACTTGTAAGAATGACAATTAAAAAAATTTTTTCGTAATCGAAAATAACTCACGTGATACAATTTTGGTGTTGATGAGTAACAAATTTAAACTTATTAACGATGAAGTTGTGAGCAAGTAGTTTATTTGCACGAAGTTTGCTTTTATACTTAACGTCAGATTCCTCCAAGACGTTTCTAAAATTGAGAATTGAATAATCCTGAATTATAGCACAAAAAGGAATAAGAAAATTTCTATAACTTTTCCACGGCACGTACTGTAAATAATGTAGTTCACCAATGACGAATCCAATAGCCGAAAACAAAAAACTGCTCAATGCTCCCATTAAAATAATATACAACAGAATAACGACGATTTGATACGCATAAAGTTGATAGAAGTACTTATCTTCGTCAATGAAAAATTCTGTATGAATGGGCAGAGATTTTTCATGAGTTTCATTACTTGTTTGAATCCATGTCAAAAATATTGGTATAGCTACTGGACCGATACTAAACCCCGTACCCATAAAAATGAATAGCGCTGTAATCAGTGAAATGTATCAGATTTATAATTTAATTTTTTCAAATGGTCAAATTACTTGACATATAAGCGCTGTAAGCATTTGATTTTTCATAGCTATTCTTAACTATTATTCGTCCCAATGCATCATTTTCTTCTAGTATTCTTTTCATTGTAACCACTACTAAAATCACCTTAAAATTAAAGAGACTTAAGAACTAAGTTCGATTGTCATTTGAAAATGAATCATTGTTATTTTTATTTTACATCGGTAAACTGTACCTTGTCGTAATTCCAGTGCAGAAACGGGTAGATGTACATCATTGCAATTGAAGTGAAAATTTGAAATATATCCTCAATTAATATATTGCTGTTAATGGCATTTTCTTTTGCATTTATAATTAACTTTGTACACTATAATCGAATGCACTGTTACAAAATTAGCTCTATACATCGATCAATTATACATACCCCTCCAAAAGTTGTAAAAGTAAGAAATATAATAATAAATGATCTACCAATTGGTTGCCAAGATCTATCTTGAAATGGCCATATAAAAGATATCTGAGAAAATTTCAAATGAAAAGGAGCCTGACTCGTAAGAAATTTCTCAAACCATTTTTCATTGAATTCAATATAATCTTCGGATGACATTTGAACAAATAAAGCGTATTCTTTCGAAATCAATTCGTTCTAGTTACTACAATTCCGCTTACAATAACTTTGACAAAAATCTTATGTTATATAATAAATTAAAAATGTAAAACTTGATGTGAATTATATAAATTGTGTTTATTTAACTTTTTCTAGAACAGGTTCAATCGATAACAAAGTCACGTAAAAGTTAATAATATTTGCGGTCGAGCACACGCCATTTAATTTTGCACTACTTACAGTTCGTTAAATAAAGTAAGTTGGATGTGAGTGAGTCCCGTAACTACGTTTAACAAAAACAAAAATAACGTTTTGCGTTAGATATAAGGTGCTCTTATTTTTTTAAAGGAGAAGAAAGTTTGTGGAATAAATTATAGAATGAAACCACAAAACTTGAATATTTTCTTGTAGCTAAGAAATTATAAATAATGAAGCGAAAAATAATTTAAAAAACTGTGTCTGAGGGTAGAGACCACGACACCGTCATGTTATGGATCAATAAAAGAGTTATGAATATAGAGGAAAAAACGTTACAATTGTAAATATGATTCAAGGTTTATTTTTAATGTGACTAGACTTACAATCGAGACGTTGCAATGAAGAAGCATTTGTGATTTTACATCTATTTTTTTGTAAATCACCATTTGGGTTCGATATTCGTTGAAATTCAATTTTTGGTTTAACAATTATATAACTTATCATTCACCAGTTTATTAAGATAATGATAATTATAAAACTTCAAGGTGACTCATTGAAATGTCGATTTTTGTGAAGTGTGCAAGGTTTCCAGAATAATATCGAACAATTGACTAGTTCACTACTGCTTGATTACGATCGGTACGATATTATTAAATTTTCCATTCTCGCCTACACAATCACCGAATGATTATTTACATTCAAGTTTTTAAAAGAAATATTAACATTCTTTAAATATTCTGTTACACTAGCACAATTTCAAATATAAATAACTAGCATTAACTGAGATAATTATGTCTTTCAAGGTAATGAATTAACCTTTATAAATCAGCGCGAAGTGGCGTGATAAATATCACTTGGCACGAAAACTGAAGAATGCTTAAACTTACTGGTGCAATAGCGTATAAATATCATAACGGCACAATCAATAACAAGAAAACACATCAAAAATTGCCACGCTTAGCATTAGGCTATATATCACGTATATATATTTACAATGGAAATAATTGCAGGTTCGATTTGTTTGTTTTTTCTTTCTTCCCATCAAGATTAATTGGTAAAAACGTCGTTGCCGCAGTTAAAGCTTGCAACTTCGCGCGCGAATCTACAAAATAGTCAAGCGGAGCTGAGCGGAGAGCTTTTCTGGCTCGAAATTCCAGCGCATCACTTGGCTATCGATTTTGAGGTCCTGGCGCTGGTGCCGCACTTGACCGAGTCCGAGTCGCTGTTGTTCGGGCTGGACGTCGCCGAACTAGCTCGCTCTCGCTTCTGCTGCTGATTATGCCTGATTCTCGCGTTGCTATTGCCGTTGCTTTGGCAAGTCGCGTGATGACCACCCGTATCCCAATCGCGATGCTGACAGAAGGAGCCGCAGTAGCGCGCTATGCCGCACCCGCCGCAGGTCTCAAGCGCCGGTCTACCGCAGTTCCAGCAATTCTGCAATCGTAATAATCGACGCGCGAAACGCGTACGATGAGTATTTTTATACCCTCGGTCTTCCATTGCGACTCTCGCTCTTACCGAACTCATGGAGCCGGCGAGGCGAGACGACTCCTTGTGGTCTGCCTCGTCGTTGGAGCTCGCCACCGCCGCCGCCGCTGACGCCGCTTCGCCGACGATCGCCGATGACGCCTTCGTCAAAGCGCCAGCGCTGCTGCTGTATCGCAAAAATGGCCCAGGCCTCGTCGCCTGGACCAGATGCTGCGATTGCTGCTGACGCGGCAAACTGTCGAGGTATCGTTGGCTTCGCAGGCGCTCGTTCGCCTGCGACTCGGCCACCGCGACGGCCAGAGCTCGCTGTACCTCGGCCACAGCCGCTCGCTTGACCTCGAGAACAGCTTCCTCTGAAATCGATCGAAGCATAGATGAATGCGAGCCCTTTTTTCAAAAGGAAACTTTTTTATGCGGGAGCCGAATCGCTATTTAGCCCATAAAAATTTTCTCGGATAAGATGATGTATTACAAAGTGCTCACCGGCTCGTCGTTTGACTTCAGCCACGCGGTCCTCGGTCGCTCGAATCGTTTGAGCGACTATTTCGCCGGACAACCTTTTGAACGTGCCTTCTCTCGAGTCGCCCTCTTGCAATTGTGCTGCCTGAGGGGCGTCGGTGCCTTGTTGCTGCTGCTGCTGCTGCTGTGTCGGATGATGAGGGTGATGCGGGGGGCCGTTGACATTGTTGCCGGCCTGCGCCGGACTCGTGCAGCCTCCGCGTCGCTGCAGAATCGCCAGAGCCCGCTTGGTCTTGTCGACCATGCCGAGGATGCAATTGAGCATGACGTGGATGTTTTTCCACTCGTCGTCGAGGCTCGCCGAGCCCGCGCCACCGCCAGCAGCAGCAGCAGCAGCACCCGTAGCGAGGCTGCCGTTGTTGCCGTTTTGCTGCAGGCTCGCACCGGACGCAGCTGCGCTCGCGCAATTTGGCATTTAAATCTTTCTTTAAATGTAATTTTTGGCAATAATAGAAAATTTCTCTATACCAACCGGAGGCGCTCGGATGCGTGGCGGCCGGCTGCTGATGAGTCGTCAGCTGGGCCAAACCGTAGGCCGCTTGAAGCAGAGTCGGCCCGCCGACGCCGGCACCTGCCCCGGCACCGGCGATCACGGTGCCGTGCGTCTGAGGCGGCAGATGAAGCGGATGATGCGTGTACCAGTAGTAGGGCGCCTCCGAGGCGTGCGGCTGATGCTGATGATGAGATGCCGGATGATGATGATGATTGTTGGCCGCCTGCGCAGCGGCCACCGAACTGTTGTGCTGTGGCGGATGATGATGCTGCTGCTGATGATGATGATGCTGATGATGAAGCGCGCCGCCGCCGATCAGCACCGACGACGACGACGACGACGACGACTGCTGCTGCTGGTGCTGATGCAAGGCCCATGGATTCATGTAGGCGCGCTTCGCGTACGGCAGGCCGTCATCGGCCACTCCGTTCTCGTAGAAGCTTCAAAATAAAGACAGACTTCAATGACGATTATCGCGAAAGAAAAAAAAAAATTGAGATCCGTACGAGTCGACGAATTAAATTTATGATTGTAGGGTAAATGTGGGTATTACTGCGGGAGAAGAATGAACTAATATTATGATTTTCTAAATGCATATGACTGAAACTTAACTATATCAGTATTTGAAGTTTTTCTCATCCTATGAGTTGAAAATTAATAGATAACAATGAAGTTAATTATTGTTAAAGCATTCTTAAAATGTGATTCTTGAAATCAAGCAAGAAAAGTTGAAAATGTTTGCGTTTAGGCACATTTCGTTGTAGTTGATTTAATTAATTGCATCGACTTGGAAAGAAAAGTGATAATTTTATCAGTAAGCATAAGTGATGCAGAAAATATTCAATTAACTTTTATATCGATTTAATAGTATATTACTGTCCTAGGCCGCGAAAAACAGAAAAGTCCCAGGATAAACACGTGCTCTGGGGCTCTCTTGTTTCGCGGCATAGGACAGTATACTATTTTTCATACCCCGTGGCCCGAAAATAGCTCTTCCCGTTTTGCGCAGCGGCCGGGAAGTAGTCACTTTCGTGCCACTGGTATGAAAAATTATTTTCTATTTTTTTTCATTGATACGATGTAAGGTACATTATTTTGTTGAAATGTGTATATTACTGCGGTGGCGCTGCGCATATCACTGCGGTAACATAACCAAATAATCATAGATCTATGACTTCGCAATTCGCCAATCTCAATGTTTAATTAATAAACTTACAGTAAAAGCATCATGGGCAAATAAAAAAAAAACTTGTACCGTATAATAACAAAACCAAAGTGAATCTAGTGCACAGAAAAAATTACCCTCAAGATAATGTTAATCTTGCTATTGAAGCCGTCATAAAAGGTAGTACCATCGCCGAAGCTTCACGAACTTTCAAGATACCTAAATCAACAATCTGAGCTCAAAAACCAAGAAAATAGTAATAAAAAGCGGCAGGTCAGGACGTTCAACAGTTTTTACTAAAGCTGAAGAGGATGAGATAGTGGGCTGGATTGTAACTCAAATTAAAGAAGGGCATCTCATAACTAAAAAGCAGCTGCTTAATTGTGTTGAAGTTTTATTTCTCTGAATAAAGACGAAAAATCCTTTCCAAAACCATTTGAGAAACATTTTTTTATTTATGAGTTGAAAATAATTTTAATACCATCGAAATCTTGCATTTGAAGCTAAACAAAACCACCGCAGAACATTCGCAGCATTAGGTCATCCGCAGTAATAGGTGCACAGTAATGCATGCATGTACCGCAGTAATACATGCATCCATTTTTATTTTTTAAAGTACTGTTTAATACACGGAAAAACTGGCGCCAAGCTGTGAGCCGTGCTCGCTGAGAGCATGAGTTTTAGGCTCATGCACAAGAAAAAGCCGTGCACGAGCAGCAGCGTCCCAACGCGGTGGTCGCACAGCACTTTTTGACGAAATTGCTTAATTTCTAACTCGCTTGAAAACCTCCTAAATCTTCTTAAAAAAAATATGTGACCTATGATTTTGATTGGAAATTTCCTCAGCTTTCTGATGGTGTGCTCAGATTTTCCGAAAAAACTATTTTTCTCCGGAAAATTAAAAAAATAAACTTTTAACATTAAATATATTAAAAAGCGTAATTTTAAGATTTTTTATAATAGTCTAGATCGAAAGTTGAGAAAATTTCCGTCTGAATACGCATTTTCCAGATGGTTCATTTTATTTTTACTTGCTGAACTACATCGATAAATGTGTAAAAACGCGTTTTCACACGTTTATCGCTGTGGTTTAATAAGTAATAATTATTTTCACACTATGAAAACTTGCATATCAATGGGAAATTTCCTCAGCTTTCGATCTAGACTATTTTAAAAAATCTTAAAATTACGCTTTTTAATATATTTAATGTTAAAAGTTTATTTTTTTAATTTTCCGGAGAAAAATAGTTTTTTCGGAAAATCTGAGCACACCATCAGAAAGCTGAGGAAATTTCCAATCGAAATCATAGGTCACATATTTTTTTTAAGTACGTTTAGAAGGTTTTCCAGCGTGTTAGAAAATGAGTAATTTCGACAATAAGTGCCGTGCTATGCGACAGACGCGCGATGAGCACTGCGCTGCTCATGCCCGGCTTTTTCCTGTGCATGCAGGGCTATTTCATGAACACGCACGGCTATACGAGGTGCGTGAATATTTTGTACGGCTCACAGCCGTGCGCCAGTTTTTCCGTGTAGTATTAAATTGAAATGAAACAATTTTTAATATTTGAATTTTTAGCCGAGATCCTAAACAATAACGTAAAAAAAAATTATTAGGCAAATCTTTTTACATCGTTTAATATCGAAGATTGGAAAACAACCTAAAAAAAAACCGCAGTAACACCCACATTTAAATGAAAATGTTAAAACCTAAGATGAAAATGTTAAAAATATGGCATGAAATCGTCACAAAAATCTCTAAAAATAACGTTCAACTAAAAAAGGAAAGGCATCGAAGGTGCGTTAATTTCCTGGTAATTATACTTATACAATAAGTATCGGATTACCAAGCCACCGAAAGTGAAAGTTCAGATGACTTTTCTTTATTCGGATTTTTTTTAGAATTTCTCGATGTCTTTAAATTGAATTTTTTTATCTGAGTCTATGAGTCGAAAATCAAGGAAAATTAGAAAAAAACCACGTTTTTTGACTCACGTGCTCAGTAATGAAGTCTGTTTGTCTGCCGATGACCAAAATTTATCAGAAGTTATATTTTGATTTATCGATGAACGTATTACAATATTGGTGTAATCGATGGATACAAACATGTTTATTTTTTTTACTCTTATGCTATTTTCTTTTTTTAATGGAGCAGAAGCTTATGAATATGATTTTTGACAATAAATCTGAATTCCTCATCAAATTTTACATAAAAAATCACGTTTCAACAATTTTGTCACATTCATCTTTGGTAGGCAGAATAAAATTTGAAAAATGAAATTCAAACTTTGAGGAAATAAAGAGTAAATCTTTAGTTTGTGAATAAAAAAATGTTGAAATTTTTCCTTTTTTGTGTGCACTACTGCTAATGAACTTTAATACAATGGTTTTGTCTCGGCTAACAATATAAACTTTCAAGTTTATATTACTAGTGTAAATAGGGTATCTGCATGAAAAAAAAATCATTGAAATAATTACGTTATAGTAAAATATACGTATCAAGGAATGTAGGAGTAAAAAAAATAAACAATTTTGAACAGTCAGGTAATTTTTAATACGAGAATAAAAATCAAAAAAATTTGAAAATTATTTTGAACTCTACAAACGATTTTTTGGTCCACATAACTGTGACGTCATACTTATGTCGGCTGCTGCATGTAATTTGTATACCTATATATATGCGTCTACTGATAAGTATGACGTCACGGTCCGCTCGCACAGCTTCGGGCACTTTCGGCGCGTTTTCGGCCGTTTGAAAAGTTGTATTTTTTGAAACGATAAATTTTTAAGTAAAAACGCAATGAAAAATTAAAATAAAAAAAATTCATTGATAATTCATATACGTTGATTTCAAAAATATCATTCCTTTTTTTTATGCAAATACCCTATTATTTATACGCAATTTTACCAACCAACTTTAACATGGGAAGCATATGAAAATCCCGCTTTTTTTACGTCTAGGTAAGTCAGCTGATCCCTGCATACGGTTAGAGAGACGGTCAATAAAAACAGCCTATCACGATCGACCACATGTTCCTTTCACCAAACGGACACTATATAAAGCCGAGTATTCACTTTCAAATTCTTCATTTTTCATTGCGCGTTTGCAGTGTGAACATCAAGGAGACAAGTGCAAGTGTTCTTTGAAGTGAAAAATTTAAATTTTAAAAAAAATTTTCAAGTGATTGTGCTTTACTCAAGTGTAAAAAAAGTTGATTCAAGATGCCTAAGGTCGATAAAAAACTCGAAAAACGTTCCCGTAATGGAGCCACGGATACGCAACACGTGGATACTTTCACCCAAAACAAATTGGACAGATTGAAGTGCTTTCGTGAAAAGGTTAATTGGGAAATCGAAGGAGAGCGACAAATATTTCTTAGAAATCTTGCCCATTTAATAGCCGATTGGAAAGTCCAACTGCCCAAACTACGTACTATTTTTCAGCCTGAAGAAATTGAGCTCATTCTATCGGACGCTTATAATTATCGCGATNAGTAATGTCTGGCTTAATTTTTCTAGGACGTTAACCTGCAAAAGCTGATGTTTTTCGTAGCCTTCACCGAGTGTATATCGTCGCTCTAGGGTAGGAAGGTATCGCTTTCAATCCTGCTGATTGACCTAATAATCACTTTAAATGTTTTAAAAAATATGACTATCAGTTGGCTTGTTTTTAGTGATTTTTCTATTGCAATTAGATCAATTTTCAACTACTTGAAATACGATATAACTAGTACAGGTCTTCACCACTACATGGCGAGTACCTTGTACGATGTCAATCTGTGAATCGGCAAGTGGGAGCCCGCGTGGCTGTGGGGCTTGAGCTCTTGCTTCTCAACCGAGAAGTCGGGGGTCCAAATCCCGGCGGTGGGCTGGTTTTTTCTAGAGGATTTTTTCTGCGGGGTTTGCTTTTGGGTTTGGGTGTATACCGTGGAGATTTTCCTTGGAAAAAAAGCTAGTTCACTTCAACTGCGGTCTCTGGTGTTGGGGGTCACACCATTATCAAAGCGTAACCTCAGTGGTATGGGAGGCGCAACCATATCGACTATAGGTACACGATAATACACTAACACACACACTTACATATACACGCAAGACCCACCGTTAAAGTAGAACGGTGAGGTTGGCCAATTAGCCTAGTAGCAGAAAGGGCCGTAATCAACAAAAAAAAAAAAAGGCAAGTGGCAAAGTTAAAATTATTGTATTAGTCAGAGCATTCCGGGCATGGCTTATAATTGATTATTGATATGGTTTTTTCAAAAAATGTTTATTTTTTCCATAATCTCAAAATAATATCAACTATGTAAATGCAAGGCTAAATCAAATATACATCAACAAATACGGCTAGTGGTAACGTGGGCGCCTACATTATCTACAAAAATTTTGTACATTGCTTTAAGTCGTGCTGGGCACGCAAATGTATTACACCATCATAATAAAAACATATATAAAAACTGAAAAACTGGCTTATAATTGATTCCTTGAATTCAACCTGCATTAGGTTTAGAAAAAAAGTACCGAAGTTTCTAATGACGTTTTATAATTCAAATATAACAAAAAAGCTAAAATTTTAGTTAGCATATATTGAGAAATTCTACCAATGGTTTTTCTTTGAAAACTCGCTAACTCTACAGCTGCCTTTGTTTTACTTTAAGAATTAACGCACAAAAAATTGCACATTTTTAACAATTAGAAGATAAAATTAACTTGCCCATAGAAAATATTTCGACAACCTCCACCAACCACCTCGTGAATGGTGATTATATGCACACCAATTCATAAGACGATTATTACGATGATCTACTTTAGATGGCCGACGTGCTTAATTTATAAATACTCGCAATCAAATCAATAAAGTCGGTCGCGTAAGTTTAGCAAGTTGGTCGGATAGGATATGTTCTCTTCTTCTAGGCACAATAGCGACGATTTAAAATTATGAATTATGTAAGAAACTTCTTCATCTAAAATCCCAGTTCAGAAGGACAATAAAACAATGGACTTAGTCCTTGTCTAAAGCAGCACTTGGAGATTCGCGAGAAACCCAATCGAGTCGCGCGTGTACGAATCAAACGCGGACATCGACGCGTGCACCATATAGAGACGAAGCACAGTACATCAAATTTACATCGATTGTCCGTCGCAGCCGATCATTGTTCTCGCTCGCGGCGCAATTGTTCTTTCGCTTATCGCTCGATTGTCGCGCGCGACAAGCGTCATCGTATACCGCCGACGATGTATATTTCGCCGAGATGATCACCGATCGAGTGCATGGGACGCCAGACGAATGGCCGATCGTCGTCGTCGCGCGCGACACGGGGGATCCGACATCTGACTTATAGGATACGCAGCTCTGTACGATGTGTATAACGTAATATAGGTATAGGTCGCGAATTGGAAAATCAGGCGCGGCACGCAACGAGCGCGACGACGCGTGTAACGGCTTTATTCCGCACCCCCGTGTACGGATCTGCGCGAGTGCGCGCGTTTGTGAATATACACGCGAGCACAATAGGTACCGCCGTACTTACGCGTGTACAGCGATATTTATTTTCCACACATAAACGCGCAACTATCAACGCGGCGAGAGCCCGCAAAGCTGATGCGTATGTACCGTGCGGAAACGTCAGTGGCAGACGTATATTATCGAGTGGACCGCGTCGCGGCGGCAAACGCATATATGTATTATTAAAGCCCCATAGCGAGCGGCTGTGGCCTCTGTTTCTCGCAATAACGCCCAAAGCGTCGCGCACTATATACTCGCGCGTGCGCGAGCTGTGCGTATGATATTTAATATAGGACGAATGATGATAACGCGCGTTCGCGATACTAAACGTTTTTCTTTTTAAGTAAACGGGTTGAAATTAATAAATTCCTCGATCGAACGTGTAAAATAGAGATTATCGTCCGTTAACAATTATAAATTGGATCCATGTACGATATATAAGAAAATTATACGGCGCGGAGAGTCGGTGCGCTGTCTGCGCAATTTCGGGCTTATCAAAAAAGATTGTTTACGTTTTCTACAATATTGTATCAAAGAATCGTCATTTTCTAGATTTTTTAGGCAAAAATTTTACTATAAAATTTCAAAATCACACCTGATGAAAAACACGTATAAAATATTTGCTCAATCAGAGGCAAAAGGAGGAAGAAAGGAAAGAATTTCCGAAATCATCAGCCACCTGCGGTATATTTCGTTTCTTTACGCACAAGCAAACGCAAAGTATCAAAGAGGATACGGTCAGCCTGTCAACTGCAATAAAACAGCGGGTCAAGCCGCACAACGGCGTCCTATATATTACATACATAACATCGATACACAGCGAGCCTGGCACGAGGGCAAAAGCAGTGGTCGAGGCCTATATATACGTACCGAACAAAGCGGAACTATACGGGACTACCACTGGTGGTAGTCTCTGTATGCATATAGATATATACAGCATTATTCTCGCTCTCGTATATACGTATATATATACCTAATGGTTAGGACAAGCGCTTGTAATTGCGCATTAATATATTATATGAGATTCGCGCGGCCGCGTGCTTAATTGTCCCTCCGCTGCGTTCCATCTCTCTCTCTCTCTCGCTCGCTCGTGTCGCGTGCGACAAAGCCAAGCCGAGAACACATTGTGCTGCGGCGCGGCGTTTGTTTTGGTCCACCAGGGTGGACGTCGGCCAACTTCGATTTTTTCTGCACGCGGTGTACGCAGCTTATTTCGAAGGTGTGTGTCGCGCATCGCGCCACGCGCGGCTTGGCAAAAGCAAAGCGTTCATTTTGTACGTTATATATTATATAGGCACACCTTGCAGCGGCCGTGGATCCGCATAATTATAAGCGAAGGACGCGAGTGTGCGTTCGAGCGGGGATGCGATCGAGTATCATGGAGTACGTTATAATTGTTGTACAATAGTTTACGCGCTCAACGATATATTGGGTAGACGATTGATTGGCCAAAATGACTAGAAGATCACGACAAGTATTTCTTAACAATAAATTACAATCAATAATTTCCAGATTGTATCGAATGGTGGCCGTATACATATGGTCAAGTTTGAGCATTTGTTATTTTTGAGCCTCTAAATCGATAATAAACTGCGCAGCTCGATTCAACAACACATATAAAAGTTGATGAACTTTTCTACCAAGGTATGCATCATTCGAGAAGAGATCGAGTTACGATCGTATCAGCGTCTCAAATTGACGCGTGCGTGAAACTTTTACTTCGTAATTTTCTATAAATTAATTTATCGAGTTGAACAATATAATAAAATTATGAACTTACAGTACGTCCGAGGCTCTTCTCTTATTGGCATGCGAGCCGGCAGCCGCCGCCGCCGCTTCGCCGTAAGCTCCGGCGAGATGTTGCGAGGTGGCGAGCACGGCGTGACTGCTGCTCGTCAAAACCACCCCCGCCGTCGCAGCAGCTGCAACTGTTCTGCCGGAGTAAATCTGCGGCTGATGCTGTTGGTGTTGTTGCTGTCGACCGGACACCGAGGGGCTGGTGCTACCCGAGGCGCCGAAAGGCTCTACTACGGCGTCGCCGTTGCCACCGCCACCACCGCCGGGGCCGCCGCCGTTGCTGCTCTGCGTAAGTCCCACGGCTTCGAGCACCGCCGACTCGTGGGTACGCAGGTACTGCGCGCACGTTTGCTGTTGAATGGATCGAAGCAAAATAGATGAGATTGATGAACTTTTTATTTGCTCGCTCGGTCGGCTGACGACAAATTTTTTTTCTCTTTACGGCTTAGCTCGTGTTTATACCCTGATTGGAAACGCTCGACATTTTGTGACTAGTTTTTGACCAAGGAGGAAAGTTTGCCGATCACGAAAGGTCCATCGGAAGCGTTAATATACTATACGCTTCAGTGTAGTACTTAATTATCACTTTTTAAATACATAAAATTCGCAAAAATTACCAAATGCAATTGCGTTGAATTTATAAATATTAACAACATTCATTTTCAAAAACCGGCGTTGATAGAGTTGGACTTATTTATGATCATTGAACTTATTTTTGCGTTTAATAAAAAGCAATTTCTCGAATATGACTGTGCATATGGTGCTTTGACTTATAAATACATTTATTTTCATTATGTCACTTGCAGATTTACAGATAGAGCTACTGGCCACCTAGTGGCTCGGAGAGGTATTATCGTAGTAACTGGATGAAAACTGTACTGAATGTTTTGAATTACTTGAATCATCATTTTAAAGTAATTTGAAATGCGATTAATATTTGTAACATAAAAATTGTCAAAAACAATCCAAGTAATGTCAATGCTTTTCAAAACATGGTCACATATTTTAGTAATCAAGTCATCACAAATGTTGAACAATCCTACCAGCGCAGGTTCGATCGATAGGAACACGAGGTATGATATTTTATAGCTACGAAAAAAACAAACACATTCAAAACCTAAATCACCAAAACTGCGACGACAAAAGAATGCGCCAATGAGTTTTTATTTTTTTTTTGCCTATTATATTCAGCATCTCGAGTTACGTTACCGCTGATTCGAGCTTTTCGAGTCGCAGCAAAAAAAAATTGCAACGACTGCAGGACGGACGTATATACCATTGCCTGTAAGCTCTCTCGAGGCCTTTCTCTATCGCGTCGGCGCGTCCGCGGGTGCAGCATCGTACTCCCTATAAGCGCTGAGTATAATATAGAATTTATCGTCACCTCGTAGACCACTTCAATATCGAAAGTAATAATGTGTGCCAGTATTATTATTTTATACATATAACGTCACCGCTGTTCCCGTCACTGACTCGGGGCAATACCTTTTTCCTATAATTTTTGTTTTTCCTCACCCAATCAACTGTACGATCTAATCGAACCCGAATTTCATATCGCACACGGAGCAGATACTTTTCGTTTTATCGATAAATGCTAAATAACGCCTCGAAAGACTCTGGCTACGTCTTCGGAATAAATGATGCATATCTCTTGAACGGCCGTAGACGCTATCTCTCGCGATCTGTCGCGCGGACCGGCCGACTTAATTGAAAAATATCCGAGGCACGATCCGCAAGCGTCACGGAGCTTAATTTGCAATTCGTTATTCGGATTATAAAGCCGAGAGAAAGAGAGAGAGCGAGTATACATTGATATTATCTATATCCCTCTGGCAAGCCCGAAGAACAACAATACGTATAGATATATTCTGTATAAATGGCTCGAGTGTGGCACTGCTGTTGCCACCGTCGCCGTTGCAGTGCACGAGGGCAACATCTGGTCACTATTCCTCGATATGTAGTAATATAAGGCGACTTAAGTAAAAGACAGACGCGTGCCGAGAGCTCTGTATAAGCCGCCTGGCGAGGCGTCAGCTTTTCTAGTCATTTTCCGGGCGGAGTAGACATTATTTTACGTCGCGAGCCCGAGCCGAGCTAACGGGTTTTCTTTGTTGTCTTCCTTTTTTTTTTATTATTTTGCCTCTTCTCTGCCTATATACCCTGTGTGCAGAGAGCTATTAAACATCGGGCACGAGTGCGCGAGGAGGCCGCCATTCGCATGCGCAGAATTTTCGGTTAAAAGTTCGGGACGCCGCGCGCAGTTATGAACGATGCAATTTCAACGCCAACGATAACGCGCATTATATATTGTAAAAGGCGTATTATTATTATATATTTACTTGATCGTCGTCGGCTTTCGCGGCCGCGGTGAGATCCCGCTGCAGCGCGGGCAGGCTCCGCTTCAGATACGGCAGCACGAAGCCGCGCAGAGGGAAATTCGTAGCCTCCTGCAGCGCCGAGTGAAACTCCTCGGCGGACACCGTGTTGCTCTGCGACAAAAGCAAAAAAAAGATATATGTATATTGGTCGTCGAAATCTTAGCGATTCTCTCTCTTTTTTTTTTTTTTTCTTTACCAGCAATCCGAGCACGAGGCCGCGCACCGTGTCGCCGGTCTCCAGCGATATGTCCATGGCGAAGTGCACGAGGGTGCCGAGCAATCGTTTGAGCTTGCCGTGAGCGCCGAAAATCGCAGCTATGGTCCGTGTGGCCGCCGCCGCGCTGTTGCTTCTGGGCGGACGATCTTCCTCTTTTTTCAGATCGCTCCCGCTGCCACGACGATCATCGTCATTTTTATCGTTGGCGTCGACCCCTGGATTATCGTTGATCGTCTCGGGATCGTCGCTGCCTCCGGCGCAGCTGTCCGGCGAATCGCGCGCCAAAGACGATGCTCTCGCTGTTGGCTCGTCGTTGCTGACTCGGCGTCTCTGTTGTTGCAGCTGCTGCTGCTGCTGCGGTGGATTCGATGCGCCATCGCTTGGCGAGGGTGTAGCGGAGGAGCTTGGACTTTCCGAGCCATTTGCTTTATCGGCGACGTCGGCGTCCGATTTGGCCTCTGCAAGAACAAAACGAGAAAACGATCGATTACGCTCTTGGAACTTTATTCGTAATTAAATCCGTTTACGTTCGTTACGGACGTTACGATCTCGTCGATTTATAAAAATCATCGATTGAGGCTTTTGGTAGCTCGAGTGCCGATTTTTCAGTCAAACCTTTGACTCGACGCACGCTCGGTTACTTGAATTATTCTAGGCAGGAATAAATTTCGCGTTTTTTTCTTCAGACGCTTAAAAGAAGAGTAGAGGCTTATGTAAACACTCTACAAAGAGCACAAGCGCAAAAAAAAATATTTACGAGGACAATTTCAGGCGCTATACACGGAGAATGTACGAAGAAAGCAGCTTAACGTACTATTATACTTACTCGCGCGTATATAAATACGATCGTATCGTAAACACCAAGCGAGACGCGACCAAGCCAACGACGTACATACATACAAAGAGTATAATAACGGGCGTCGAGGATCGGCAATTGCCGTTCATCTCGAGGCATTTGCCTTCATTACAATTTCAGTCTGATTTATAACGCGTGAGATGCATGTCTCGAGCGTCTTACTACGAGCTTCATCGAGAGGGCACTCAACGACCTGTCTCGCTCGATGCCGGATTGTTTATATCATTTTTCCGTACGGGGTCTTGGCCAAATACATTTTCTTACCGCCAATCGTTAGTCGCGGTTTTTTTTCGTTCATAATTTCTGGTCCTTTACTAATTACAATTTGTTAAAGAAAAAAAAAGTAAGTCAATAACGATAGAGATATTCAGCTCATGCAACTAACAACTGCACTGCTATTTCGATTCGCAGAAACTATCCTATCCACTCGGTCAACACCGACGCGTCAAGACTGCATACGTAAAAATCGATCGATCGATTTTCTGTACCCACGTGCGCAAAATTACGAACTCGTATGAAATCATTACGTATTCTCGCATCCGTCAAAGAAGCGCGAAAAATAGATCGTTCGCGCGTCGGGCCTATATTCTCGTTTCACTTTAATTAACGATGAGGGTGGAAAATTGAAATTACATAAAAGAGGCCCGGGGGGTTGAGGGTAATTTAAATACGCGTCATCATCGTCGGCTGCTGCTGCTGCTGTTGCTGCTGTACGCTGAAAGCTCGCGATCAAAAGGTAAAAAGCTCTCGCTCTCTCGCGCGCGCGCCCACGCGAATCAAGGCGCGCCGTTGTAAGAATAGAATTAATAAACTTTTGCCAAGTGCATAAAGCAGCGGCGCGGTGGCGATGTTTTCGAAGCGAGACAGGGATAGAAAAAGACGCAATGTCGTCGTATACACAGGGCGCGCGCGCGTAAAAGCCACCGACACGAATGAAGAGGAGGAGGAGGTACTGAAAGCTGTTGCCTCGCGCTTATACATATATATATATATATATATGTGGCATTTCACGTCAACTCTCCCAGTGCCGCGCAGCGCGGCAGAATTAAGCCAAATCACTAAATTTGTGAATCGCTGTAAAAGTACTAAAATCACCTAGAGAAAAAAACGAACCCATGGTTTCGATGGGAAATCGCCTCAGCTTTCCGATGGTCAGGTCAGATTTTCCGAAATTTTCCGCTTTACCCGGGAAAATCGCTGGGAAAACTTTAAAGTCGATTATCTCGAAAACTTCATTTTTAAGATTTTTTTAAATAGTCTAGATCGAAAGATCAGGAAATTTCCCATCGATATAGACCTTTTCCAGAGAGGCGTTTTTTGATTTTAGCGAGATATAGCGAGAGAAAGAAGAAAAAACGTGGTTTTTTGTTCAGTTGGAGGCGTCCGACCGCCCGCGCGCGCGAAAAAACCACGTTTTTTCTTCTTTCTCTCGCTATATTTCGCTAAAATCAAAAAATGCCTCTTTGTAAAAGGTCTATATCGATGGGAAATTTCCTGATCTTTCGATCTAGACTATTTAAAAAAATCTTAAAAATGAAGTTTTCGAGATAATCGACTTTAAAGTTTTCCCAGCGATTTTCCCGGGTAAAGCGGAAAATTTCGAAAAATCTGACCTGACCATCGGAAAGCTGAGGCGATTTCCCATCGAAACCATGGGTTCGTTTTTTTCTCTAGGTGCATTTTAGTACTTTTACAGCGATTCACAAATTTAGTGATTTGGCTTAATTCTGCCGCGCCGCGCGGCACTGGGAGAGTTGACGTAAAATGCCACATATATACAAAGGAGTGCACCAGCAGCCTACAGAGTATATGAATACGCTATAGCCGTGCAGCCTGTATCGAACAGGTCAGGTTGACGAGTCTGTGCCGCGGACACCTGACGCTAGCAGGTATACGTGTAACCATCATCAGCTGTCTCTCTCTCTCTCTTTTTCCTTTCGTTTGCAGAGAGAGAGAGAGAAAGAGCTATATAACTTTCTGTGTGTATGCGTGTGTGTGTATGGGTGCGTCACATATATTTGAGGTGTATATAGAGCTATACCTACGTTATATATATAACCAACAGCGCGCGACTTTGTGCGCGAGTATACGCATACATATATGCGTGTCAAAATTTGAATCAACGCTTAAACGATCAAAGCTCTCTGATTTTCCCTTTCTCTCTCTTTCACTCGTTCGCTGAAATTATTTTACGTCAAACTTTTCACCGGCTGATTTGACGTGTGCGGTTTTTCCACTTCAAATGCGCTTTAAAGTAGAAAATCCGTTTATGCGCCTTATGCGGTTGCGCGCGATCTCTGATTTTAAGCTGTCATGAACTCGCGAAAGGTTGAAATCAAAAGCATCAAAACGCACGCGCGCGCGTGGCCGCTACGTGCGTTCGTCATTGCTCCCCTCGCATGATAATCGAATAATTTCGAATTTCTAGCTTTTCGCGCGAGTGAAATTGTCCGCTTCCTCGGTGAGGCCTGTATGAAAAAGGTTCCTGGATCTAATCGGCAATTCTAATGAATGAGTTCGCGTAAGACTTGAAAAGAAAAAATCTTCGCGGAGAATCCGACGCACACGCGTACGAATTATCCACGTTGTTGATCGGAGTCGAGAGATTATATAATGACTTTCCAGCATTAAATAAAAGATATGATTAGCATCGGATGGGCTGAATTATCACGACTTTCCGAGATTTTTTATCGACCATTGATCATTTATAGGGAATGGCATGCGGAGCTTACGGATATTTATAGTTTCGAGACAAGTGTTTCAACTAGCATATCAATATAGAGTAGGTGTTTGAAAAATAATTTTTATAATTTAGTTAATGTGAGAAAATTTATTAACAGATTTTTACAATTACGACAAAATTTATGAAAGCTTAGAATGCTTTATAAAATACATTATTTATTTATTCATAAGCAAGATTATGCGAAATCATGTTATTGAAGAAGTATTCATTACACCCAAATCTCACGCTCTTATGGTTGGCTTTAATTATGTACTGTATTTTTGTGCTTTTCAAGAGAACTTTATTGTCCAAATAATTTGTGACAAAATTCACACTCGAAGGGTTCGCTACCATAATGAACTGTATTTGTGTGCCTATTAAGATAACTTTTGCGTGAGAACGATATGTGACAAATATCGTACTCAAAAGGTTTTCGATGGTCATGTACTGTCATAATGTGAGATTTGAGGTTACTTTTTTGTCAAAATGACTTATGACAAATTTCACATTCAAAAGGAATTTCCAAGATTATGAGCTGTTACTCTATGCCTTTTAAGTACATTCTGATATCCAAATGATTTGTGACATATGTTACATTCAAAAGGTTTGATACGATTATGTACTGCATTTATATGCTTATTGAGGTTACTTTTTTGTCCAAATGATTTATGACAAATCTCACATTCGAAGGGTTTCTCAAGATTATGTACTGTACTAATATGAATTTTAAGATGTTCTTTTTGTTCAAATGATTTCTGACAGATATCACATTCAAAGGGATTTCCATGTATATGGGTTGTTACTCTATGCCTTTTAAGTACATTCTGATATCCAAATGATTTGTGACAAACGTCACACTCGAAGGGTTTCCTCTCATCATGCACTATTATGATATGCCTTTTGAATTGATACTGATATCCAAATGATTTGTGACAAATTTCACACTCAAAGATTTTGCTACGATTGTGTACTGCGTTGACATGACGTTTGAGGACACCTGATTGTCCAAATGATTTCTGACAGATATCACATTCAAAGGGATTTTCAAGATTATGGGTTGTTGCTCTATGCCTTTTAAGTACATTCTGATATCCAAATGATTTGTGACATATGTTACATTCAAAAGGTTTGCTACGATTATGTACTGAATTTATGTGTTTACTGAGGTTATACTTTAGTCCGAATGATTTGTGACAAATGTCACACTCGAAGGGTTTCCTCTCATCATGTACTGTTATGATATGCCTTTTGAATTGATACTGAGATCCAAATGATTTATGACAAACCTGACATTCTAAGGGATTTCCAAGATTATGAGCTGTTATTCTATGACTTTTGAGTACATTCAGATATCCAAATGATTTCGGACAAATCTCACATTGAAAGGGTTTGCTACGAAGATGTACTAAACTTATGTGAGATTTAAGGTTACTCTTTTCTCCAAATGATTTGTGACAAATATCACATTCAAAAGGTTTACTATGATTGTGCACGGAATTCACATGAGATTTGAGATGACATTTTCGACTAAATGATTTGTGACAAATGTCACATTCAAAGGATTTACTCAGCTCATGTACTATATTCACGTGGCTTTTGAGATGTCTCTTTTCTCCAAACGATTTGTGCCAAATCTCACATTCAAAGGGTTTGCTCCTAGCGTGTACTAAGTTTATGTTCGATTTCAAATTACTTTTTTGTTTAATTGATTCGTGATGAATTTCCCATTCATATGGTCTAATACTCTCGCATGCCGCATTGATATGTGTTTTTAGTGTCGCTTCTTTTGTAGTTTTTTGACAGAAATTAAATTTACGAGATATGTTGGTTTGAAATTCTTCTTCAAATACTTTCACTTCTTCAGATTCATCAAGTTTCAATTGACTATTTTCTGGAAAATGACATGCATTATCGCAATCTAATTCTTTTTTGCAGATGGTTGTCGACAGAGACGTCAATTCAAGTTTCACATCTTTGCACTCAAAATCAATGAATATTTTTTTATTAACGTCATTCGTCTCAGTAATCTTTTCTATTTTTACCACAGTTAGACAATTTTGATGCTCAGATTTACAGATACATGTAGGTAAAGGCTTGAATTCAGATTTCATATCTTTGCACTCAAATTCTGTGAAAATTTTTTCATTCAGCTTTTCCTGTGACACCATAATTCCATTCGTCTGATTAGCCTAAAATAAAAATTGTGTCATGATTTTATATTGTAGGATAGCTGTACATGATTCAAATCATTCAACTCACTGATAAATTATAAAGCGGGAATGTTTCCAAGTTTTTGACATTGCAAGAGTCCACTAGATCGAAATTATAATCGTCGCGTGCACCCGACCAAGTATCATTAGGTTCTTGTTTCACCCTTAAGAATAATCGTATTCGATGAAGCAATTGCTTGAAAAAACATGTCATGAACAATAAAAGTAATACCTTACCTAACTGCGTGCTTTTGGCTTTCCATCCTTCGCTTTATTATTGTCTTCACTGGCAATATTCGCGACATATACTGAAAAAATATTTGAGGTTATAATATATCTCAACACTGTACTTCGATTTCACAAATTTGTAAACACTGTCGTACTGCAGGAATTTAGCTTTTCGCTGGCGACTGAACACCCAATACTCACATATTAGCGAGATGACCCCACGATGGAGATGGCTCCTTGACGACGATACCTTCCCCCTCTACCGTAAACCAGCTATACGCAGTAATGTACTGTGATGTAAATAGGCCTTCGTATGCCATTAAAACTACACCAAAATTGTAATGAATTGTCATTCATACAGGCGCCCAATGAGATTAGACATACATTTGCGGAGAAACATTTACACAAAAGAAAAATATATTTTTCGAACACACACTTATACTATTAAATAATAGTATTAAACGCGTGCTATTAAAAATTTAGTTCAATGAGTCATTGAAACTGCAAGTAGTAATAAAATATCTAAGGCAGTGGCGTCGATAATTTAACAAAACATTTTATTTGCATGGTTTACGTTTGTGAGGTATTAAAATCGATAAACGATTTGACATTTGACAATGGTTACAACTTTTATTCGTTAACATTTTTTTAAAAAGGGCCAGAGATCTTTTTTTCCTAGAAATTGATAAAAATTTCAGAAAAAAATATATTTAAAAGGGATCTGAGTACTATACGAGTTTTCTGCTACAGATATATATTAAAGTTAAAAATTCTACCTAATGTAACCTGTGTTACAATATTCTAACTAATTACACCTACATTTTCAAGTCAAAACAAAACCAAATCGATTCTTGAAAAACGAGAAAATACTTTGTAAAAATGATAAAAAGAAGGAAAACCGCAAAAAAATGACTAAATGAGTGAAAAAGACTATAAACGAACGAGCATAAGCCCAAGTAAATTTGTAGGCTTCGGAGACTCTTAATAGAGAAGTTGCGAAGCTTCAATGAAAAGTTATTTAACACTTCTATTACGATGCAATAACACCAAAAATTTAAGACAAGAGAAATATTGATTTTCGATCCAACTAGCATTTTTTGAATTTTGATTCAACTGTCATTTATTGTGGTAGTAATAGAAAACGATTCTCACAAATTTTCGTACTAGAATTCATAATTCGAAACAGGCCAATGTCCTATTTTACAAGCATTCCCACATAGAAATAGTAACAATCACGCGTTCGGAAAAAAAGCTGCTTGCCCATGTATTGGCAGCAGTTTTGCCGTTTTTAATATAGTTTCGATCCGCCAAGCTGCAAGCTCGAATATGCGTCACAAGCTGCGCGCGTATTTAAAGATATACGCGTATAATTTCCCGTAGGAGAATTTGGTTGGCAGCTGCGCCGAGCATTATACGTACGGTATTCGACATTACCATTGTCTTGGCCGCTGCGCGCAGCAGCAGCTGTTACGGAGCGCCGCGGCTTTCGGCGGCACACTGCTGCTGTTGCTAGCTAGCTACACTGCTGCACGCGCGCTCAGCTGCAGCAGTCTTCGGGGCATCGCGCCAGGCTTCTGGAGTTTTTAATATAAAAAACACCATTCGTTCCTTCGATTTTCTCCGATGCATATAGACGTTCAAATTTTCGCAACGAGGCGGCGATTCGATGCGATTTAGAAAAAAAAATAAAATAAAAATAAAAAATAATAATAATAATAATAATAACGAGCTCGCGAAATAGGAGCTTGAAAAATGGATTCCGATGCGATCCACGATGCACGAGCGTACGACGAACATTTTTAAGCATAGCCGAAGCTCGCCATCGCGCGTGCTTTTTCGCACGCGAAATATATGCAGCATCGAAATGGCGTGTAGGCGCGCACGACTGCAAGCTCGTCAAAAAAATATTTTCCCACACGGATACACGCAGGCAGTCAGGCAGCCAGGCTTAATGGATAAAAAATGGGCAAAGGTATACCCGACGGGAGACTGGGGTTGAAAGCTCAAAGTCCCCAAGCTGCCGCGTATAAGTTGAGAGGCGCCCGCTGCAAGCTCGGTATGAGCGCGCGCGCGTATGTATTATATATGTAAAAAGACGCTCTATGTGTGTGTGTGTGTGCGCGCGTGTGTACAGCGTATACGCGGCAGGGACTCAGCTGTCGCCTCCTAATTGCCGGGACAATGCAACAGATGGCTTTGATCGCAATTCCTCGCCCGTGCTGTATACATACATACGACGAGAGGCTGCTGCTGCTGCTGCTGCTGCACAGGCCACGCGCTGCACGCCAGTAAAGTGGTATATATAGCAGGCTGCCGCTGCCTCTGCTGATTTTCTTTCTTCCTGCTTGTACTACTGCTATACAGCTCGCGCATTTCTCAGCACGATGCCAGAGAGAGAGAGAGAGAGGAGCAGTAAGCTTGCTCTCCTGCTTCTTTTTCTTCTCTTCGCCCGATGCGACAGACTTTTCTTATCCTTTTTTTGTGCAAACTAGTCGATCTTTCTTACGCGTGACAGAAAAGGATCGAATACCTCACTTACTTTTTCTTTTATTTCGTGTATTATAACGCGGCGCAGTGGCGCGTCGAGCAGCGGCGAATGATAATTTTTAATAAGCATCCAAACTTTAAAATGGAAAAAGTCACCTGGTGCCAACGACCAGCGACCGACCGCGCCACCGCTAACTCGTTCCCTCGCAAACGTTTTTATGACATTCGTGGCTCGATATCGAAGATCTGCTCGGTGTACGTACAGACAATGAGATTTATGCAAAGGCCGAGCTGTACAAGAAGATGGCAACGAATCGCATTTATATGCGCCAATTTTTTCAACGATCAATCACAATGCACAAAGTTAAGAATGAAAGCTTCGAGCTTGCGAGCAAACGAAATTCGTATATGAACGTGCCGTTAACTCAAGAAATAAACGACGTGCGTCAAACCTCGGGGAAGTCACTCGAGGGCGGACAATACCATTGAGCTCGAAGTATCGCCATTTACAGCCAGTGCCGAGGAACTACATTTTGACTGGCTGGTCGGAGTCTACTCTCTCTCTCTCTCTGTCTCTCTCTGCAGCTCGAAGCTAGCGATATGTAGTCGACAAAATGCCGAGCAGTAGCAGCAGCAGTAGTCCGGAGTCGATCCTGCACGAGCTCGAGAAGTCGCTGCTGCTGCTGCTACTATCAGTATGGAGCAGCAGAAGCACATCGTCGATGACGAGGAAACGGCAACTGCAAGGTACTGCAGCAGCAGCAGCAGCAGACCGCACGCCAACGCGGACGTGTCTTATCGCAAGCGTGCCAGACCTCTTCGTCGTCGTCTCTCGTTCGCTTATACCGCTACTACCCTGCGCTCCTCGAGCATGAGAGACAGAGAGAGAGGGAGAGAGTTTGAAGCCTCGCGCACACACACGCACGCACACAGACAGACGTAAAAGCTGCTGCCTTGTACACGGGGAGCGTCGGCGCACGTGATGTGCATTGCGCAAAGAGAGAGAGAGAGAGAGAGAGAGTGAATTGCTGCGATAGCGGCCCGTACACGTTGCTGCTGCTGCTGCACGAGCCGTGCAACATACAGGGCCACTTTATGGCTGCCTATGTAGCTTCTTCCTTATGCCACACATTCTCTCTCTCTCTCTCTCTCTCTCTCTCTCTCTCGAAAATTAAAAGAGTAAATTAATTCAAGTTTTCGCTACTCCAAAATGAACAACTCCAACGATTGCATATTTGATGTATAACAGTTAGCTTTTTATTTTGCATCGTACAAATTATATGTGCTCGATACACAATTAATCACAATCGTGTAGCCAGCGAATCAACATTTCCTGTGACGGAATCGTTGAGAGGCGCGAATGCCGTTGAAGAGTCTCCTCCAGGACCTCTTGGCGCCGGTAACGGCTGACGACACCGCCGGAGCTGGCTGCAGCGCCGCCGACACGTCGAAGCACTTGAGGCAGTAGTCCGGATAGCCGGGGGTGCCCGCGTAATCGACGTACTGCGCGCAGCCGTGATAGTTGTAGCAGTCCTGGTTGCAGCCGTTGCCGCCGCTCGACTCGGCGCCGCCGTTGATGGCCACTGAGCCGCAGTCGACCTCGTACAGGTCGTACAGGTCGAACGCCTGATACAGCTGGCCCGTCTGAGGGTCCTGCACGTACACGCAGTCGGCCGGATACGCAGACGCTGACTCTTGCTGCAAACTGCAGAGAGGGGAAAAAGAGAGCGAAGAGAAAATGAGAGCTTTGCAGAAATCGACGCGCGCACGATCCTCTCGCGATCGTTATTGCGAAACAAACCGACTTACGCCAAAATTAATCCCAACGTGAGCACAATTAACGGGGACATGTTTCCAGTCGCTGTCCTGCTTGTATGCACAAAATACGAAAAAACGATGCCGATTCCTCTCGACTTTCTGCTGAATTTCACTCCTGGCCGCTCTATTTATATAGCATCGTTCTCGGGCGAATTAATCGTGTGGCGTTTAAGAAGGAGAAAGAAAGATTCGGAAAATCTTTTTTATTTTTCATTATCTATCGTCGTCGCGGTCAAAACAACGGAATCTTTTTTTAGAAACCACAAAGTCAGGCGTGCGTGAGCGCATAAGGATATCTCGTCGGCCAAGCGATCGCGAGGCATTTCGGAGAGCACGCATTTCGATAAGCGCGCCTCGACGCATCGGCATCTTTTTCTTTTTCGCGAGTCGCGATACATTACGTAAGGCGCGATCGTTTCGTAAAACGCACGCGCAAGGTCGATTTTGTAATAAAAAATAAAAAAATTTTTTTTTCGCCGCGTTGCGGTTTTAATTGCGATTAAGAGAGAAAAAAAAAAGAGGAAAGGAAATAAACGTTGCATCGATACAATAATAATCATCGATTACGTTCGATTGTCTTGTCAACTGGCGAATCTCTATTTAAGCACTTGCGTCGTCGTGTTTAGCGATCGATGCACGCGAAGATGAAGCTGCGGGGCTTTTTTCGATATATATTATTACGACCTTTTGCAAAAATTATTTGCTTGAAAGATAAAAAGTAATGTTTGGTGGATAAGCACTCGATAAGAATGATCTATTATGTACGATTATTGCATATTTATTTTCTAAGCAAAATAAGAGCTGGACTTTGGATTTATACAAAAGAAAATACTCTTCGACGTTTACACGATAGGGTTGACTGTGTTATCCAATACAGGAAAATAAACGATGAAATTATCTTAATACAAAAAAAAAGTCGATAAAAATCTTTCTTCGATGTACGAACGTATATGATAATTTACAAAACTAAATTAGCTCGGTGTCGCGCGTCATTGACTTCCTGTAACTTCAGCAGCTGCTGGCGCATCCGTGCTCGATTCTACTTTGGGCTCCGCCGTTTGCTCCTCAACGGCAGCGGAAGTCGTCGTCGTCGTCGTCGTCTCTTGCACCGGGGTCGCTTCCGTGGCTGGCTCCTTGACCTGCTTGGAGCTCTTGACGTCGAGCGAGCGGGTCTCGTGATTGTAGACGCGCTCCGTGTGGAAGATCACGTCGCCGATCGGCAGGTCCTCGGTCTCCTCGTAATAGGGCACGCCCTCGGCCGTGCGACCGGCCCTGACGACGCGCTTACCGCCCCGAATCGACACGGTGGTCTCGTAGCCGCCCCGGCCGTCGGCGTGCGTCGAGACGTGCGCCGCGTTCTCGTCTGCGTGGATAATTCGTTAACAATACGAGATTAGAGAGAGGTCAGTCGTTGCTTGCTTTATTTTTCGAGACGATCCTTCGATCGAAACTTACTCTGCGAGGCGCTTTGAATCGATTGGTTGATGCTCTGTTGTAAATTTTCAAAGTACTCGTCCATGTTCATGTAATTCGAGCCGAAGGTGGGCACTATGAGGTCGTACGTCGGTCTTACCGATCTAGCTGTGGACGAGCTACAATGAAAAAATCGATTGTCAATCGGCCACTCGGGCGTACGATGTTATCACGAACGCGCTTGAGAATCGTTGTTTCGATTCAACGATTCATTGCGAGAACCAAACATGAGCACTGCTTAAATAAATTAAATAATTGTGTAGTCTATCCGACAACTGTTACTCACGCAATAATTCCAAAAAGCAGAAGCAGAGCTACGGATTTCATGTCTGAGTATATTTTATTAAAAGTACCGGATTCTGTGATAATAACGCAGAGGTGTGTGCGACGCAGAGCGAGAGAGCAGAAAAAAAACAAGAACTTACACTTGGCACGGTTCACTTGTCAACTTCAACTGTAAAGATACGACGCGCGTTTTCGGCTTATCACGCGTTTTTATATAGTATCAAGTACAACGGGGAATAGGAAAGAGTGTGGGCGCCGACGCGTAAGCCGCGCGCTGTACGTAAGAGAGAAAAAAAAGGATAGAGACAGAGATATCGGTGAATTACACGGAGTGGAAAAATTTTTCGGTAAATTAGTACGGTGCATTTTTTTTCTCACTTTTTTTTTTTGTTTAAACAGTTGCATTATAAATTATTGAAGGCTCGTTTATATAATCATAGGCAGTGCGGAACGATGAAAAATGTCGATCGTTCGCGAGCGTGGCATACAATATTTGCGTGCAAATAATTTTTGAACTTGAACCATTGACTCGCGACCAAACGCGTGCGTATTTCTAATCATTGGTTTCGAAATTTCGTTTTATAAGCAAATACAAACGCGATGACGTTGCAGGTGTCAATCATTTTGCGCGTGCGGTAAGAATTTGTTGACAAAATATGTTCCTTTGTTTTGCAACTAATGATATTCATTCGAGTTAGCACGCTGTACGTTAATGAGAAATTAATTCAAATAATTAATGTAAGGTCAAAATAAATAAAATTTGACTGATCAAAACACGCTTATTAATCAAACTCGAGAGTAAACGATTTTTGTCTCACGCAATTTCAAGCTTGTAAATCAATCACCTAAGAATAAATGATTTCTCTATTTGATTTGAAGAATATATATTATTTCTACAACTTTTTTTCTGAACTGTTCTGAAATGATTTCGCTGATAAAATGTGATTTTAAGTATACGTAATGTTTGAAAGGAAAATTGATGAAAATTCAATGTTTACAATTTGCTTAAATAAAATTTATTTTGAAAAGTAAAAATATCGTTACAAAATTACTTCGAAGTCAAAAAAATCAAATTTAATAGCTTCTACTGCTGCTCGAAGAAGAAGAAGAGATGACACCATTGGGGAGCCTATGAACAGAAGCGGAATTTATACCATTTCCAGAAGCAGAAGCAGAGCCGCCGTTCATCTTGACTCCAACCGAGCCAGGACCAAAACCGGTGACACCTGTAAAATTTAACGAGCGATTAAAATGACAACATATGCATAAGTGATTTCTTTAATCTTGGAAACGGAAAATTTTTACGAAACAATTTTTCGTCAAAAAATCAGTTTCCAAATTTTCAACGTTATATCTCGCACGCGAAATCTCTGTTACTCGCTCTATATAGGAGCGTATAACGCAACTAAATGACGAATACGTCATTGATAAAAAAAAAAGAATGCACGAAACTGAATCACACTGTTTATCGACTGTGCGGCGATGACGAGAAATTTACGAAAGTCGCGTCAGATTGTGCGTTGCGTAGATGCAGCAAAGCACGAAAATGATGTATCGAATAGTAAAAATATCAATGAAAACGATTTTCATAAGAGTAACCTAGTGTCCACCGAAATAAATTGACAAACTCAATGATTTTGATTCGAAACGTTGATTTTGTTCTTTAAATTAAGTATGTATCTGCTCTCACCCAATCCGGTGCCCTGTCCTGGAAACCGTTGTCCTGGGTACTGTTGTCCGGGAAAACCTTGCTGCTGGCCGCCTACCAGCTGCTGACGGAGCTGATTCACGAGATTGAATAATTGTTGAATTTGCTGCTGGTTCGCCCGCACTTGATTGACAATGTCGGCGATAGGATACTGAGCCGCAGTTGGCTGATTGCAGGAACTGCGGAGAAAAAGTCGAGAATTGATCTTTAACGTTTTAATTCGAACAACATTTTTTAACGTATAATAACTTACAGCAGAAGAACAGCGAGGAGTACCGAAGACACGACGAGCTTCATGTTGAATCGTTGCTTGCAAGGTTTTTCGCACTACCGTAAAAACTGAATTCACTTTGGAGACGAGTCGAGCTCGAATGATGGTTACCGTTGAAAATTATCGTGTTTTTATACTTTGATGATGAATTTGTCAATAATTAGCGCTTCCACGATCTATACTCGCAATAAATGGGGTGTACATCGTGTGAAATCATCGATACTCGTAAAGTAACTCACGTTTGTGTGTGCATATTATTCATCGATTGTTCCGATCTATCGGCAAGTTTTAGGGAAAACAACGAGACGATTAGCCCAGTGATAAGCTTTTTTTTTTTTACAATGAGTCGTCACCGCGGGGCTATGTCAACAATCTTATGGAGGAAAAAAGCTTGCACTCTTAAATAATACCGAATTTTATTTTCTCACTGTCAAACTTTCCTCGAAATTGAACACAATCGTGCAATAAAATTCGTTAATCGTGGATCATTACAATAGATCGTTGTCGATGATGTACATCGTCGCTTCGACCAACAAAACAGGTGTACGTGTCGATGTGGTTTTATTACATCGAAAACTGGCTCGTAATGAAGGCCAAAAAACAAAGGAATAATTGAAGATCATCGCGTTTAAAGCGCGCGCATTTGTACGCCCGATCAATGTTCAGGGCGAACCTCCATGATCGGTTTCCATAACTGCGGGCTTTCGTTCTCTTTGCCATATAATATTATAGGCCCGCGGGCGACGATAACAGGTCCTCGGCACTTCTGGCTTTTGGCCCGAGAGCTGCTCCGTCAGGATTCAAAACTCGCGTGCGCTAGAGCAGCGGTAGCAGCGCGATTTTGTATACGGGCACCCGCAGCTTTATATACGTGTATATATATGGCCTACGTATTACGCCCAGGCAAACGAAGCTCGATGTCGCGCACTTATATTCTCCGGGGCCGAAAAATTACACGAGCCGATGAGAAAAATAGAACTTTTTTGACGTGCGTATATACGTATCTCGATTCTGCCGCTGTAAGCTCGCGGGTCAGGGTGATAATCGTGCAGATAGAGCGGAGATTTTTCTCTTTTTTTTTCTACCTATCTCGCATCGTTACATGCTGGTATCGCAATTAGTTAGGGCAATCCTTTTTCTCTCTCTCTCTCTCTCTCTCTCTCTCTCTCTCTTTATTTTCACTTCGGGCGTTGGCTCATTTTTTCACGAACGCACCGAAATTAAATGCGTGCGTGTACAGTCTCGTGCACCGCGACGAACAATGATCGGTATTCGCCTTGAATTTCGTAACGAAAAAATTTTTCGAGACGTTTCGCGCGTGACGCCGTTTCTTTCATTATTCAATATTTCTTTTAAAGAATAGCGTATACGCACGCACGCACGCTCGATTAGAAACAATCGGTCCGATCGAGACTCGATAAACAAAAAAAATAAAATAATAAAAAAAAATGAAGTATAAGTGACACAAGGTAGCATCGTGTATGATCCCTCTTCGTGCGGTGTGCACGTGTATCGTGTAAATAACGTGACATACACAATATGCGGGCAGCGTTGGGTGTCAACCAGCAGCAGCAGCAGCACACCGCAGCAGACGCGGCGCGTTGAAAAAATATAATAATATTACGCGCGTAATTGCACAAAAACAAAAAAAAACGATAATATTTTGAATTAAATATCTTCGAGACAGGGACAGAGAGAGAGAGAGAGAGAGAGAATCAAACAAACGTCACGGAGATAAGGCTTTGATTTTTTTTTCATTGTCGTCATGTATTTAATACTTTATGGTCGATTAGCCGGCACGCACGTTCGAGTGCACGCGTTTACAATAATTACGGACCAAGTCGTAATTCATATTGTATGTATCGTTATATTGTTGACTTACCTTTCGACGAGGCTACGACAACGACGCTGCCGCCGCTGCTTTTGATGTCGAGATCGACGGGCGAGTTCGTCGGTGTCTCTTGGCTGCTGCTGTTGCTGTTGGTACCGGTATTCGATTGCTGCTGCTGCTTTTCGGGCAGATTGGGAGAGATTAAGGTCGTCACCCTGGCCGCCGACGAGGAGGTGGTGGTCTGAGCCTGCTGCTCCTGAGTCTCCTCCTTGATCTTGATGTTGTGCAGGAGGGCAGTGGCCGTGGTGGCGTTGACCGCTACGCCACCGCCGCTACCCTCGACCTTCATGCTGATCGCCACGGCGAAGGATCGTTGTTAACGCGCGTCAGGGCCGAAGGTAGCTGATGAAAGAATTCAATCTGTGAGTACTGAAAAGTGGACGTTTTCGATCAAATACGACTTGACTCATCGAGGTATTAATAAATTCGATAAAATTACTCATCAATGGATTTTTAAAATTTTAACATTTCAGAATGAATCACCGATCGAGGGCGATTGTTCTTAAATTTTGCAATTCGCGCGAGTTTAAATTACGCAAGCCTCGACGAAACCCAAGGCAACGTCGTCGAAAAAAATTGCTTCTTTAAATCTTATCACCTGCTAATGAGCGTTTGGGATTCACGATAGACTTGACTCATGCGAATGCACGTACGCCGCCGCATTCGCGCGATACACGAGCCATTTAAAGCGGCGATCTGATTAAAGGAAAGATATGATACAAAAATAGCTCGGCCTCACAGGTTGAAATAACGCGCCCTTGTATACAGACACACACAGCACGCGCAATACAATATAATAACGAGCGCGAGCATCCACGAGCATACCAGAAGTTGCGTTGCTCGATTCGTATTTGATTGATTTCGAAGCTTTATATCATAACATCGGCAGCATTTGGCCACGCGCGCGTATACATTTACGCGTGTGTGTACGTGCTTATACACGATATAATATACAGAGAGAGAGAGACGCGCGGACAGGCAGACAGACAGTCGGACGGACGGACAGACAGACGGCACGGGGCGCAGCGCAACACCCGCAGCAGGAGAGGGTATGGCGTCTGTGTTCCTTGCTGACTCTGGACCTGCATACCGATTATCCTTTTAACGACGAGCGAGAGAGAGAGAAAGAGAGAGACGAGGTCTGCTGCGCCCCCAACAGCAGCAGCAGCTGATGTCCTGGCGCATAAAATTTTTCTCGCATTAGTTTTGATTTTACCCTCAACCCTCATCAGACGCACACACACACATACATACATACAGGCGTTCTCTATAGCAGCCGCGACTAATGACTGTTTAAAGCCAAAATAGGAGATTTTATACAGGAGAGAGAGATATTCTGTTTTGATGCGCGCGAGATTACTTCCCAGAGCGACACTTTTACATAATGTTTAATGTGGTTATTATGAGGCACGCGCGTGCCGGTGCAGTTTTTTTCTCTTTTTTTTTTTTATTAATTCAAGTGCGTACCGATGCACGGAAAAATTATTATTCATTAAACGCGAGGGAGTGCGCGGGAAGATTGCGCCACATTTATTTTTCATATATCACGTATGCGCGTTTTATTTTAAACGCGATTACAGCGTGTATGTTACATGCGCGCGTATTTTTGGAACGATTAACAAAAGGTGTATGGATCGTTAAAAAGACCAACTTTTCCATCGTTACAACAACGTAAATGAAATCCAATTCGACACTTCGAGCGCGATATGTGACATTTCGACGAAGGTTCTTATAAGCGACAAAATATCGTCGGCGCGCAGCAGCACGCGCGATTTTCAACCATTGGAATTAACCCATCGAGCGAGGCAGTGGCACGCGGCCGGGGGGGTAGACAGACAGACCGCAGGCGCGCACAGCGTCCAAAGCTCGTGTGGGCAGAGGCGACCCCGCGGGGCGGGAGGGGCACATCGCAGGCATCTGGTTTGAATTATAAGACACGTCTCTCGCTCACTCTTTCGCTCGAGGAGGCGAGAGTATAATAATGTACGTCTGTTTGGCTCGAGCGCGTCAACATTGAACAGACGAGACGACAATAAAAAGTAGCTCACCGAAAGAGAGAGAGAGAGAGATTTGCCAAAAGCTCTGCGGTTATGAAGGTCTGCGTGTGTTCTGCGCGCACACACACACATTGAGCTTTTGCACAGCCATACGCAGCTGGTGCTGCTGTGCTCGCGATAGCTACATCGATTCTTTTATTATATAGAATCAGCATGGCCGCGGGGGGCTGTTTTACGTCCCTTTTTGTTGTAATACGGTTAAGGTAACGGAGCAGTCCTCGAGTATATAGCGAAGTTTGCGATTCGTATCGCGAGAGAAAGGGATATCGTGGCGTATCGTAACGAGAAAGAGAGAGGGCGGAGGATTTGGCCGAGCTCGTAGGCCTTGTGCTGTTTCTTAATATATATAGGTACGACTACGAGCGCAGCGACGTAGAGATTTTAATTTAGCTATAATTTAACTATATTTTTCATTTACAAGTGGAGGTTTTAGCGAAGGAGAAGAAGCAAATCAACCCTGATAGAAAAGTGTACAATATCCGTTCATTCAGTTTTTGGCTACGTAGATTCGAAATAGTCGGTTTATTACCCATTTGAAGACCCAAAAATAATAAGCAATAAAAAACAATAGCATCGACATCATTTTAAACTTTAAGGTTGTTAAAAATTGTGTACCATTACCATTCAATAATTTTTAAATTAGAAAAATAAGTTGAAAATTGCTCGATCTTAGCCATGTGTGCGCGCGCACCTAATTGGGAGAAAATTTCATGATAATATTTTAGCGTAGCAATTATTGATTCATGAAGTACATCAATTTTAAACAATTAAATGGAGCAATGACAAGTAATAACTCAAAAAGTTGACAAAAAAAAAATATTGCCCAAAAAAGTTAAAAGAAGAGGTACCTACGTCACGCGGGGTTCCCAGGCGGTCACCCATCCAAGTACTAACCGCGCTCAACTTTGTTTATATTCGGTGATCGGACGAGAACCGTAGCTTTCAAAGTGATATGAACGTAGACGTTGGTATAAAAAGTGGAGCAAAAATCAGTTCGGAGCGAGTTTTATCGAGTGATTTCGGAGTAAGTCATAATAAGGAGCAAATTTTTCAATATGTATAGTGGTTAGCAACTTTTAAAGCGCATCAATATTCAACCAGAAAACAGAAAAATAGTATACCGTAACTCGAAAAATTTGTAATCGCTTTGTTTAGGTGCAATTTCACCACTCTCTGAACAATTTTACAAGTAATAATTTGAAAAAATGACGAACATTTATTTGTTTTTGGCGATTTTTTCGATATAATTGTATTAAAAGTATTAAGGTCATTTTAAAAAAGTTCGGAAATGACAATTAAACGGTTTAAGAAAGTTGAGACTAGTTATCAACCGCTGAAAATGCAATATTCGTACTTTGAGCCGTCACCTCTAGATGGCCAGTACCTATAACAGATAAAATCTGCAAGTAGCAAAGTCAAAATAATTCTATAAGTTCCGGTTGTATAATAGGGTATTTATTCGAGATTTTGTCAAAAGCTTTTATCTGTTGTCTAATTATTTTGTGACCTTCTTTTATAATGAATTGATTTCAGATGCTTTCATAAAAGAATACAATTTAATACTACGAGTACAGCATCGACAGAGCATCGCCAGCGATGTTTATCGTAACGAGCTCGATCATGATCCGATATAACATAACTGTCCTCCCCTGATCGATATTTTTCAAATATCTTACGGTACATCATCCGGAATAAATTGCCACGGTGGAAGGCTATGCAAATCTGATACTTTTTTCCAAGTCTCGTATCCTCGCACACGGTAAATAAAAATTGTGGGTCCTAAGTCGATCGTGATAGACAGGATACACGCATATACATTACAAACTATATAAACAAGCAGTATAGAAGCAGAGAAAAAACGACAGGAGAATGAAGCGCGATAGCGATATGGTACGGTTAGTTATGGGTATACCGCGTGATTGGATCGCGAAAGCTCGAAAGCTTCAGACCGAGACGCGGGTCTCGCGCGAGTCATACACGTACATTATATTATACACAAACTTCTTCATTTTTTCATGCATATCGTACGTCTGCGCGGGACTATATACATATACCGTGACTGATCTCTGACCTCGAGTGCTTTTACGGCGACGAGATTGCGTTGATGCAAAGGAAGCTTTCACACACACACACACACACATACGTAGACGACGACGTATCTATATCGCTGTATAATATACAGCGCACAGATCGGCTTGCGTTGCTTTGCTTTGCCTCGTCCGCCCGCCCGCGCGCGCCTGTGCGTGACATTTTTATAATGAAGCAGCAGCAGCGGCAGTTCGCGCGATATCGCAGCTCGCAGCGGCTCAGCTGCAGAGAAAGAGTATAGTAAGCGCGTATATATATATAGGTATATTGTACGTAGGAGTCGATCGAGCTGCTCGCACAACCTGCAGCAAAAGCAGCGCTAGCATCAGCAGCAGTCGCGCAGAAAGTATGTATATCGCGCAAGCGGGTGCCTCCAGAATTTGCGCTTTCTCTCGCTCCCTTTGCTCTTTCTCTCTTTATACATACCTATATATATCGTGCGCAATACTGTGCACATAGAGAGAGAGAGAGAGAGAGAGGTGCCGATCTGCTGGTGGGCGGCGGAGCATCTGGCCTCTGTCGTCTATATAACTATTCGACTATATAATACGCGTACACGTTTAATGCGACTCTGCGTTCGAATTATACAACTATATCTGTATGTATGTAGCTCACACCACCTATACGTCCTCGCGGACTGTTCTAATATTGGAAATTTCTGCTCGTGCGAGACACGCAGCGAGTGAGAGAGAGAGAAAAAGGGCTGATATGCCATGTGCGGGACATATGTATAAACATGAGCTGGAAGTATGCTGTATATACCCGCGCTTCTGATTTTCAAGAGCCACCGACGCAGCTTGCAACGCGACACACACACACACACGACATCGACGAGTGGACTTTGCGGGCAGGGGTGAAAAATGAAAAAAAAAAAAAAAAGAAGAAGAAGCGAAGAACGCAGAATGCAAAAAACCCGTATCTGCGGGAGAAAAGTCCGAGAGAGCATTGATTCGACGCGTGTCGTGTGTACAGCAGTACGTTTGTTATTATAGAAAATCGGAAATATAATAATTCGAATTGATATTGATTCCGGGATACCCATTTTCTCTCCTTTTTTTGGAATATCGAGTGCGCTTTTTGTCGTATACATTCGTATACCTTTAAATATGTAAATGCCAAGAGTCTCGATTCCCGGTGTACAACTGAACATTCAGCAGAACCTCGTGAGTCCGAAAGCTCTGAGCTTTTTTTTCTCTCTAACTTCCACAAAAGCTCTTCCCTTCT